TCGACAACAACATCGTCGACATCGAGTTCAATGGTGCACCAACGTTCAGTCCTTGAACCTAACGAATTGGCGTAGAATCTGGTTCAGTGATGATTCACGATTTCTATTGGAACGACGCGATGGAAGAATGCGGGTGTACAGACGTCGACGTGAACGTTTCGCCGACGTTTGCGTTCCCCAGGTGGACATATTCGGCCGGGGCAGTGTTATGATGTGGGGAGCGATCACCTGCCGTAGGAGAAGTGATTTGGTGATGATCCAGGGCAACCTGACAGCTCAACGGTACTGTGACGACATCCTACGCCCACACCTCCTTCCAATCATTGATCGCTAGAGGGAGTTGTTTCAACAGAACAATGCCAGGCCCCACACAACACATCACACTAGAGACTTCCTCCAGAACCACAACATCAATGTGCTCCCCGGGCTCTCAAGATCACCGGACTTAAACCCGATCGAACATCTGTGGGATGCCCTGGACAGACGGGTCCGACACCGTAACCCTCAGTCCCAGACACTTCAGCAACTCGCACAGGCACTACAGGCAGAGTGGGTTGCGATTGGGCCACACGATATTCTGAGACTTATTCGTTCGATGCCGAGGCGATGTCGTGCAGTTCTGGATGTCCACGGCGGTCACACGAGGTTTTGACTTCAGCGCCACCACACGTTTCCATGTGACACTCAAACTGACTTTCCTCGAGTTGGTGCCAAAGACGGATAAGTCTGCATTCCCAGTGTGCAATTTCGCTATATGTCATTTACTCATAAAGCCTACAAGATGTTTCAAAATAAACATAAAAAATACAGTTGAAATTCCTATATGCGTTTCTTCTTTGGGAGAGTATAAATTGTTTGTAGGCTTTTACTTGAGAGACGATATTTAAAACCTCTAAGACAGTTTACCATGGGTGCAACCTGTCTAGCATTCCAGTTAACATGGTCAGTGCAAGAACAGTCGTGCTGTAATGTTCCAGATATTTATGACTATTGCCTGTTAATATTACTATTCTTCTTAACCAAATTTCGCTTTGAGCCGGGCTGTACTGTTCATGGTACACAGTGAATGCGCTTAAAACATGGGATATGTCAGTGTTTAATGTCCTAGGTCCGTATCATGTTAAACGTGTTATCCTGAAATGAATATATGACTGAAGGTTAATTTTCCTTATGCGCTGCTTTCAATATGAGTGGGTAATATGTGAAGCCATGTCACAAAACGCTTTTCATTTTTCATGGTTTTACATATCCTCTCTTGGGGACAATAATTTTACTCAACTTTAACCCCTTCGAGGATACAGCCAGTAACCATTTAAGTTGCAACTTAAACTCTACAAATATTAAAAATCTACACTAAGTTAGATAGTCTTTCGATACTTCTTTCCTTGTGTATATTTGGTCAAACCTCAAAATACCCTGAACATTTTACACGTTATCTGCTGTGATAATTCCTTGTCAGCTCGACATGTTTCAGTTTCGCACTGCACAGATAGTGGCGTGGTCATATGGACACAGAGACATATCTTTAAGTCCCACATAAACATGAGGCTGCATGTCAGCTGACATGTGACGGGCATGCATTACGTGTAGTATCGGTCGTGGAAACAATCCAGTAGTTTCACGCTGATTGCAGAGATGTTTTTCCGGCCGGTCACAAATAATATGTTCTATCTTTACCCCTTTGGTATGACGGCCTGGGATCGAACCACCGACACTTTTCAGTATGGGTAAATTATTAACATCTGTCGGTGAAGGAGACTACAAACAACTAGAACATCGCAGATATAAAACCAGTAATTGAATCTAAAACATTTTAACTATAGAGTACAACACAATATACAAACAGACTTATAGATCGCCCACAGCTGAAGGTAGATCACCATACTAGGGACCATGTGGACTTAGAATACATTTGCTTCCTCCATGGACCCTAGCTGGATTTACATCATCCCTTCAGCTGTCAGAAATTGTCGACCAATCTTGCCATAAATTAAAATAACAGAAATAAATCAATAAAAGACTGGTAGATATAAAAATACTTGGAAAGACATGGACTTACATACCCTCTCAGGGGGATAATAATTTCACGGTACTTCATCCGCCATCAAGGACACAGGCATAATCAATCTTTCTTAATAAATATATCCTACCTAATTATAAAAAAATATCTAACTACACAATAATGTATTAATTAACTTTATTAAAAGGTCTTTTTCTGATGCAGATACATTTGCATTGTTTAATTACATACTCTTGACTCGAGGGTCTTGTACAGTGTTTACTATGTATCTGCTGGTGTGGAGGGTCTTGTACAGTATTTACTATGTATCTGCTGGCGTGGAGGGTCTTGAACAGTATTTACTATGTACCTGCTGGCGTGGAGGGTCTTGTACAGTATTTACTAAGTTTCTGCTGGCGTGGAGGGTCTTGTACAGTATTTACTATGTACCTGCTGGCGTGGAGGTCTTGTACAGTATTTACTATGTTTCTGCTGGCGTGGAGGGTCTTGTACAGTGTTTACTATGTACCTGCTGGCGTGGAGGGTGTTGTACAGTGTTTACTATGTATCTGCTGGCGAGAAGGGTCTTGTACAGTACTTACTGTGTACCTGCTGGCGTGGAGGGTCTTGTACAGTATTTACTATGTATCTGCTGGCGTGGAGGGTCTTGTACAGTATTTACTATGTACCTGCTGGCGTGGAGGGTCTTGTACAGTGTTGACTATGTACCTACTGGCGTGGAGGGTCTTGTACAGTGTGTACTATGTTTCCGATGGCGAGGAGGGTCTTGTACAGTATTTGCTATGTATCTGCTGGCGTGGAGGGTCTTGTGCAATATTTACTATGTACCTGCTGGCGTGGAGGGTCTTGTACCGTGGTTACTATGTATCTGCTGGCGTGGATGGTCTTGTACAGTATTTACTATGTATCTGCTGGCGTGGAGTGTCTTGAACAGTATTTACTATGTACCTGCTGGCGTGGAGGGTCTTGTACAGTGTTTACTATGTACCTGCTGGCGTGGAGGGTCTTGTACAGTATTTACTATGTTTCTGCTGGCGTGGAGGGTCTTGTACAGTATTTACTATGTACCTGCTGGCGTGGAGGGTCTTGTACAGTATTTACTATGTTTCTGCTGGCGTGGAGGGTCTTGTACAGTATTTACTATGTTTCTGCTGGCGTGGAGGGTCTTGTACAGTATTTACTATGTATCTGCTGGCGTGGAGGGTCTTGTACAGTATTTACTATGTATCTGCTGGCGTGGAGGGTCTTGTACAGTATTTACTATGTACCTGCTGGCGTGGAGGGTCTTGTACAGTGTTTACTATGTATCTATCTACTGGCGTGAAGGGTCTTGTACAGTATTTACTATGTACCTGCTGGCGTGGAGGGTCTTGTACAGTATTTACTCTGTTTTTGCTGCCCTGGAGGGTCTTGTACAGTATTTACTATGTTTCTGCTGGCGTGGAGGGTCTTGTACAGTATTTACTATGTATCTGCTGGCGTGGAGGGTCTTGTACAGTGTTTACTATGTATCTATCTGCTGGCGTGGAGGGTCTTGTACAGTATTTACTATGTATCTGCTGGCGTGGAGGGTCTTGTACAGTGTTTACTATGTATCTGTCTACTGGCGTGAAGGGTCTTGTACAGTATATACTATGCATCTCCTGGCATGGAGGCAAGTGGGACACACTGTATCATGAAGACGGGGATTACTGTTTGTCTGGTCAATTAACTGGATATGATGCAGAGTGGTGTCAACATTCCTAGTTGAGTGTTTGACAAATGTAACTTGTAGTCTCTCAACTATAAAATGTACGGTCTAAAGGATTGTATTGCAACGAGGCACCTGGACAAGATGGCCTCAGATAGTAATTGTACTACACAGTAGATTCGAATTATCAATAGAACACAATAGGAGGACGAATGTCATCAGTACCGTTAGATCTCGGCTTTACGAAGTAAGTCTAAATGAAAGACGTCACCCTGTGATCTATTGGTTCAGCATAGGCGACAGAGATAGCGGTATGGGGAGGATTATTCACCAACATACACGCTATATCAGGTTTTACCTCATATTCAGAGAAAACGGTACATGTGACGAGAGTCGTGGACGCAGTCGTTAACAATGATAGGCACTGGTGGGTCTTCATCCCCCGTGGGAGTTGCACTGATTCAATCACTGTGAACTTGACTGTCCATCCTTTTGGTCTCTCTCTCTCTCTCTCTCTCTCTCTCTCTCTCTCTCTCTCTCTCTCTCTCTCTCTCTCTCTCTCTCTCTCTCTCTCTCTGTGAACTTGACTGTCCATCTTTTGGGGACCAAGTAATAAATTCTTATCTCGACACATAGGTATGTCTATGAGGGTAGAAAAAAAATGATGACAACTATAACAGGGAATGGTCGGGACCGACAGGTACTTCGAGTTATGCATAATATTCGAGACACCGGCATTCGACTCATCGGGATTTGACTGTATGTATAGATAAATTACTATCGACTACAGTAACACTCCCTTAAGTTCAGTCTGCCCTTGGACCAATATCTCGTATTGCGCTATGACATAATTCTGTTATCACATACCACTTAGCACCACTAACGTACACAATGCCACTTCATCGTCAGTTTAATCTGTAGTAGTATAATGGAAGAACTGCTTCATGTTGTTAATAACTGCAACAAGGGATCGGCCCCTGGGCTTGATCTACCCCTTATTAATTAATAAAACATCACTCCCTAAAGCTGATTAACATCCGACAAAACTTAATTCAATTTACCGGACAGGTTCACACCTAAACGTCATAGAATAAACACAAAACTCTCTTCCAAAATAAACAAACAAACATCACAAAGTCATTATATTATACTATTGCTTTGTTGTTTGTTGTAACAACAAATTCTTTCTCGCACGAAATTCTGAAAACCTTATTGTAACAGCCTGGAAGTTGACACTGTTTAACTGTATCGTGCTAAAGCTGTTTCACTTACCTCCACGTCAGTAGGTACCTCCGCGTCAGTAGGTACCTCCACGACAGTACGTACCTCCACGACAGTACGTACCTCCACGACAGTACGTACCTTCTGAATACTGCCAGGCCCACAGAACCACGCCCCTTCTTACATCAAGTCACAAGGATGTCCTCTGTGTTATCTTGTCGATATTTATCTTCAACCTTTTGCACCTGCAGCTTGATACAGCTTGCAGCAGTCGGAGCAGCTGTTTATTACCATACAACAATGACCATGTTATCTTTGCTGTGTGAATGCAGGACATAGCTGTGCCAGAGAACTTACTGGTAAACTGACTAACTGACTGAGTTTGGTTTTACGCCGCTTTTAGCAATATTTCAGCAACATCACGGCGGGGGACACCAGAAATGGGCTTCACATATTGTACCCATGTGGGGATTCGAACCTGGGTATTCGGCGTGACGAGCAAACGCTTTTACAACTAGGCTACCCCGCCGTCCCAGAGAGAGGGGAAGAGAAACAGAGAGCTGGAGAGTATTGTAGCATGACGTTAGTATATTATAAGTTGTATGCTTGTCTCTATTGTAATACGGTCTGATGTACGGCTCTTTGTAGCAGTGGCACCCGAGTCGGTAGGCTATTGCGACATATAGTCCTTGAGCCACGGCAAATCTAACGACCAAACGGAGGGACAAGTGACGATGGTGCCTGGCGATTAGGTGCCTGACTCTGAGGGTATGGGTTCGAATCCCGGATGAATCTCAACCAAACGAAAGTACAAGAATCTGTACTTTACTAAGAGCAGAGCTAAGAAGGATTCATAGGCTATTTTCGTTATGGCCGCTCAGTTTTGTCATCTTTTCCATTGATTTTAAAAACATATAAGCTTCTAACACAGAATATTCATTTCAAATTTTAACTGACTGACAACTTTATGAGAATAATGTCTCTTTAGTAATATAATCTAAGATCCTGTTATGTATGTTTATATCAATAACAAGTAATTGCTCAGTAATATTTTATATTAAATTATTATTATGTTGTTGTTTTTTCAAATTTTAATTCAAATTCAGGGGCGGTGGTGCAGCCATGTGCTGAAAGCATCAACTTGACACGCCGAAGACCCACGTGCCATGTGTGAAGCCCATTTCTCTCACATTCATAAGTGTTGTATAATTGCAACCTGATGATAGAAAACAATTGCCGTGTGTTTCTTTCCATATAAAATACCCTTGAAAGTTGACACTGCCTTAACACAGGCAGCCATTTTTCAATACATCCGCCATTTGTGTAAATGTTAACAAAAAACAGAAAGTTGCAGACATAGATGACAAAATCTGATTTTATATTTCCAAGCTAAGTTTTAAGGAATAGAGAGTGTTTGAAGTTAAATGAATACACTTGGATAATACATGTATTTGAGTTTAAGGCTTTGAGTCATAGGAATACGGCGGAGCAAAACCTGCAACTGAAATGATGCAATGCTAGAATATATTTCTCTTAATGAAATAATAGTTTCAGATACTATATTGTTACTATCACTGCATCAGAATTCATCTCCTTATATTATTGTGTAAGTTTAAACTAAATCACCGGTAGGTCGCGGGGGAACGTGTCCACAGCTGATTGCTATTTCCGGTTCTGTATACGCGACAAATACACGAGGTAATCGTAATTTCTGCATATTAGACATGCTTAGCAAAAACAAATTAGAACTGAAAAAGTAAATAATCTATTCTATTGATGTTTAATTGCAAATGTGACGTCTTTACTGACAAAGTCGTTTTCTGTTGCTTGTTCACGCGAAGCAATACGATGTCGTTTTCTTATCCTGAAAAATGTTTGACGAAAGTGTAACCTATAGATAAACCGACCGGTGTCTCCAAAAATTGTCTTATCCGGACTGCTTTACAATCCGGACAAATTAGTCGGTCCCAGGTGAGTCCGGAATAGACAGATTCCACTGTATTAAGATATCGTACAAACGAAAACGTTATGAAAAGAGAAACCAAGGTTTACAGCACGTTACAGTTATTAGACTGTAAGTACTACAGTTATTACACTGTAACTACTACAGTTATAACACTGTAACTACTACAGTTATTACACTCTAACTACTACAGTTATTACACTCTAACTACTACAGTTATTACACTCTAACTACTACAGTTATTACACTCTAACTACTACAGTTATTACGCTCTAACTACTACAGTTATTACACTCTAACTACTACAGTTATTACTCTCTAACTACTACAGTTATTACACTCTAACTACAATAGTTAGTACACTGTGACTACTACAATTATTACACTGTAACTACCACAGTTAGTACACTGTGACTACTACAGTTATTACACTCTAACTACCACAGTTAGTACACTGTGACTACTACAGTTATTACACTCTAACTACCACAGTTATTACGCTCTAACTACTACAGTTATTACACTCTAACTACTACAGTTATTACACTCTAACTACCACAGTTATCACACTCTAACTACTACAGTTATTACACTGCAACAACTACAGTTATTACACTGTAACTACTACAGTTTTTACGCTCTAACTACTACAGTTATTACACTGTAACTTCTACAGTTATTACATTCTAACTACTACAGGTATTATACTCTAACTACTACAGTTATTACACTCTAACTACTACAGTTATTACACTCTAACTACTACAGTTATTACACTGTAACTACTACAGTTATTACACTCTAACTACTACAGTTATTACACTCTAACTACTACAGTTATTACACTGTGACTACTACAGTTAGTACACTCTTACTACCACAGTTATTACGCTCTAACTACCATAGGTATTACCCTCTAACTACTACTGTTATTACACTCTAACTACTACTGTTATTACGCTCTTACTACTACAGTTATTACACTGTAACTACTACAGTTATTACACTGTAACTACTACAGTTATTATGCTATAACTACTACAGTTATTACACTCTAACTACTACAGTTATTACCTTCTAACTACTACAGTTATAACACTGTAACTACTACAGTTATTACACTCTAACTAGTAGGATGAAATAGCATATGACAAAGACATAATAGCATATGGCAAAGATATAATAGCACATGGCAAAGATAAAATAGCATATGGCACAGATATAATAGCATATTACAAAGATATAATAGCATATGGCAAAGATATAATAGCATATGACAAAGATATAATAGCATATGGCAAAGATATAATAGCATATGGCAAAGGCTTTATCAAAGTAGAAGATAGGACAGTTTCGTACCTCGTACATCAGTTTGTTGGCAGGTCACAAAGTGATGTGTGACGGACAGAAGTGGTATGTGATAACAGAATTATGTCAAAGCACAATACGAGATATTGGCAAGGGCAGACTGATAGGAGTGTTCTGCGTGTATTAGCGGACTGAAAAGAAGCAAAAGGCTGGGCAGTCAAGTTCACATTGATTGAATCAGTGCAACTCTCACGTGTGATGAGGTTCCGCCAATACCTATCACTGTCAATAACTGCGTCCCCGACTCTCGTCACTTGTACCGTTTTCTCTGAATCGGGGGTAAAACCTCGAAACTTCTGTACACTTTGTATAGCGTGTATGTTGGTGAACAATCAGCCCCATACCGCTATCTCTGTCGCCTATACCAAACCAATAGATAACAGGACGGTCGTTTTGCATTTAGACGGACTTGGTAAAGCCGAGATCTAACGATACTGATGACATTCGTCCTCCTATTGTGTTCTATTGATGATTCGAATCTACTGAGGGCATCTTGTCCAGGTGCCTCGTTACAGTGCGGTCCTTTAGACCGTATATTTTATAGTTGAGAGACTACAAGTTACATTTGTCAAGCACTCAGGGATGTTGACACCACTCGGTATCATATCCAGTTAATTGGCAAGACAATCAGTAATCCCCCCGAAGAGTGTATACCTGTCGTCATGATACAGTGTGTCCCACTTGCCTCCACGCCAGCAGATACATAGTGAACCTTTTACAAGACCCTCAAGCCAAGAGTAAGTAATTAAACAATTAACATGTATATGTTATCACAAGGGATACTTATTTCAGTGTCAAATCAGAAAAGGACCTTTTTAATAAAGTTATTTAATAAATTATTGTGTAGTTAGATAATTTTTTCATAATTAGGTAGGATATATTTATTAAGAGAGATTGATTATGGCTGTACCCTTGATGGTGGTTGAAGTACCGTAAAATTATTATCCCCCTGAGAGGGTGTGTAAGTCCATGTCTCTCCAAGTATTTTTATATCTACCAGTCTTTTATTGATTTATCTCTGTTATTTTAATTTAAGGCTAGATTGGTCGAGAATTTCTGACAGCTGAAGGGATGATGTAAATCCAGCTAGGGTCCATGGAGGAAGCAAATGTACTGTAAGTCCACATGGTCCCTGGTATGGTGATCTACCTTCAGCTGTGGGCGATCTATAAGTCTGTTTGTATATTGTGTTGTAATCTATAGTTAAGATGTTTAAGATTCAATTACTGGTTTTATATCTGCGATGTTCTAGTTGTTTGTAGTCTCCTTCGCCGACAGAGGTTAATAATTTACCCATACTGAAAAGTGTCGGTGGTTCGATCCCAGGCCGTCATACCAAAGGGGTAAAGATAGAACATATTATTTGTGACCGGCCGGAAAAAGATCTTTATAATCAGCGTGAAACTACTGGATTGTTTCCACGACCGATACTACACGTAATGTATGCCCGTCACATGTCAGCTGACATGCAGCCTCATGTTTATGTAGGACTTTAAGATATGTCACTGTGTACATTAGGCCATGGCTATAGGAACACACGTCACTATCTGTGCAGTGTGAAACTAAGACACGTCGACCTGACAAGGAATTATCACAGCAGATAACGTGTAAAATGTTCATGTTTATTTTGAGATTTGAATATATATACACAAGGAAAGAAGTATCGCAAGACTTTATATTCGTCCTAGTATCAGTACGTTACCACTAGCCATGGCAAAATAATGTATCCAAACCTCAATTTAATTTTATCTGGGTTAACTTCCTTATCTTACAAAAACCCTCACATGCTCTTGGCGTCATATATAGTCTTAACGACAGAATAGGCTTTGCTATGCTCAATTAGTCTATCCTGGAACATTCAAGATTACACTTGACTCCAAAATCGTCTTATGACAGTAGTTTCCACACCACTGCTCCTGTCATATATATAGTAATACATCCCTGGTAACTATTTACTGTTATAGTGTAATGAACGTACACACAATCTGTTTGTATGCAATATAACTGTTCTACTGTCGTCAGTATTTTATACCTATTGCAGCTATCGCATATACTGATTAAACTGACGACGAAGTGGCTTCTTTGTATGTATCTGGCACAAGAGTAGGCTGGCGTCACATCGGCAATATTTCAGCCGTATCGTGACAACAGAAGGTCACCCAACATAAAATATAAACATGAACTGATTCCTTCACAAGACGGGCAATATAACAACTGGAATAGCAAAGATTAAATCTAAAACTAGCTTGAAACCATATTAAAATAATGACTAATTGTTCCACGCCACAGTATACAATAAGGTTATAGATCGCCAGCAACCAAAATAAGGCCAGCATACTGGGGACCATGGGGACTTACAGTATTCCTGTTTCCGGATTATAAACTTATTTCGGCTGGTGAAGATTGTCTGGTATTTTAACCAACGATTAAAAACACAAATATTCTAAGACTAAAAGTAGTAAGAATAAAACACATTGAATGATATGGTTTTGCATATCCTCTCTTGGTGACAATAATTTTACTCAACTTTAACCCCTTCGAGGATACAGCCACTAACCATCTAAGTTACAAATTAAACTCTACAGATATTAAAAATCAACCATCTACACAAAGTTAAATTCAACTTTCTTTTAAAAATCCAAGGACAATGTGAGCAGCAAGATGATGAAAAATATCATTTGTATGATAATTGTATCCAATAGTTTTGAATTTCGTTTACTTGCCTACTTTACTACTACAGACGAAGGAGCCATGATCCAAATTAGAGCGCACCAGTATCTGTATAGGTGGAGCAGGGATCCCTTACCTTCTTAGAATTGAAGACAGCTTGTAACATTCCAAGGACATTCAGTAGGTCTTTAAATATTGAATGTCGAGTGGAAAGGTCAATCGCTGATCACAGATTATACCCAGGAACTTAGCGTCCTTAAACAGCTTTAAGAAGAGTAATTCCGGGTCTTCACGATTATACCCAGGAACTTTGCGTCTTAAACAGCTTTAAGAAGAGTAATTCCAGGTCTTCACGATTATACCCAGGAACTTAGCGTCCTTAAACAGCTTTAAGAAGAGTAATTCCGGGTCTTCACGATTATACCCAGGAACTTTGCGTCTTAAACAGCTTTAAGAAGAGTAATTCCAGGTCTTCCCGATGTCTATATTGTCTACAAAACTGGACACAGTTTGTTTTAGATTTGGACAACTTAAACAAACGGCCACGTCATACTTTAAAACTCGTTTACATTGTAGACATTGCCACAGCAATATATGGCGACACCCATTGAACAAACAAAACAGGATTATTGTGCAGAATAATGTATATATCTTTAAAGCAATGAAAATCCGTGTTTGATAAAGCTTAAAGCTGTTTAGGTAATATTGTTGTCTTCTGACCAACTTGAAATAGAAATATACGACTTCAACAATAGATAAGCGGTACACATCACAAACAGTACAGCATGACGATAAACCAGGTCGAGTTGACATGGAATGTATGACAGCAGATAGCGCTTGCTTTTATAGAAACTGACCAACACGGAAAAACGCGTGCCAACATCCCATGTTTGTGATAGTATGAATATGTTGCTATTAATTCCGGCAAAAGGAAGTTATCATCCAACCTCATTTCAACTTACTATCTGGGTACATTGACCGTCAAGACCACCTCCGTGGTGTAGTGGTTCGAGCGTCCGCCCGGAGAGCGGAAGGTCACGGGTTCGTTCCCCGACCGCGTCATACGTTAAAATATGGTACTTGTTGGTCCCTGCCTCCCGCACGGCATTATTGGGTACAACTGTCGGCTCGGAGTCAGTATAATGTGTCTGAGTTGGGTATTCATGCTTCACTGCGGCATGGTATCTCAGTGGGCTAGCACTATACAACCAGCTTCAGTCTGGGCTAGTACAAGCAGCCGCACATACACATACACACGCATGCACGTCGTCATATGAGCGAAATATTCTCAAGCACGACGTTAAACCCAATTTCACCTCACCTCACCTCACCTCACATTGACCGTCAAGCATTTACTTAGTGTCATATCCAAACACAAAAAGGAACGAAAGACAAAATACCGACTCAACTTGATGTGAACATGGACGTGTGACGTTCAAGACTCTGGTATACAATCCTCAAGACCTTTTGGCATCTTATATAGTCTCCACCAGGCATCTAATATAGTCTCAACCAGGCATCTAATATAGTCTCAGCCAGGCACCTTATATAGTCTCAACCAGGCATCT